TGCGTAAGTGCCAAAAATGCCTATAAGTGTCCAAAAAAAATGACCATTTAGATGACCAGGACATAAAAGCATGTCAGTGTGAGGAGATAATATTGCAGGAGGAGGGAGGAGATTTGGTAGCATAGCCTGTTCTTAAGGTTGTATGACAGTTCCTATTGTAAAATCATGGCTTTGTTTCCTTTTAATTTTGGAACTAATTAGTCTTTTGAAGAAGAAATTTTCCATGCTGGTTGTCTGCCTTAGGTTGAATACTGCCACAAAACAGTTCAGTTATTTCTGAGAATAAAGTTAAGAGAATACACATAACTTGCGTAAAAACTTATATATACCTTTTCATTAAGAAACACCTAAAATCACCCTCCATAAGGTACAGCAGGGATTTGATATTGTTATGATGCCAACATTTTAGTTCTGTCAGTCAAATGAAAATCTGCTCACATTTTGCCAGATTAAAGCCTTTGAAAAAAATTGGCTTGTTTTTGCTCAGAAAGGACTTCTTATCCTCTAAAAACGACAATCTTCAAACTTTCTGTCCTTACTGAGCATATCTGTTCATGCCTACATGAGCACATACACCACTGCTAGTGTCCCTGAACATCCTCCACCCTCTTCCAGGTCTTAGAATACTGCCCAGGCTATGCATGTACCATTCTTACAAAACAGCTAAGCATATACTAGCTACCCTTAGGGTCAGAGAGGAAAAGCTGGACTTTCCCTATGAGGGATATTTTTCCTTTGATTTGAACTAGGATGAAGGTAGGTGCTGGAGTTGAGAATAGAAAGCTTGTGGTTACAAGGATGTGCTCTTCTAGCACACAGGCCATGTGGAAAAGGGAATTATAATTCAACTATGGAAATGATAAGGTGTAAGGAAAGAGAGAAAGGAGCCTAGGAGTCGGAGACAGTGGAAATAGATCAGGAACTAAGGAGGGGAAAATGGTGCTGACTGAGTAAGAACGCCGGAGGCAAGGACTAGAGATGAAAGGGAATTGACTTGGCAATGAAACTAGAGAGTGCAGGGATGGGACTGGGATTTGGGAGGAGAGACTGGGACGTGGACAGACAGCTGTGAGAGGGAAGCCAAGCCTGCTTGTGCAAGGAAACTTATATAAAAAGCCTAAGTAGAGATAGACTGACTCAATAAGGAGAACCAAATCATGATAAGGAGCTAGCGGTGGGGTGGGCTGTGGCAGAGACAGGTCAAAGGGGACAGGGAGAAGGCAAGTTTGAGGGAAGGAGCTGGGCAAAACTGCTGACAAGAAGTCCCAACCCCCTTTTGTGCTGGACCACAGGAAGGATGACAACTTACTATTGCCGTCTGTTGTTCCCATTATCTCTATATTTGATTGGTCTAAAGGTTCCAGCCCTGCTGGCGACCACGTGAGTGTCAAGGAGATGCCATGCGGTAGAAATTGTGTTGTTCTTTCTAGTTTGTTTTTTTGAATGAAGGAAATAACACACAGAGATTGCAAACAAGCATTCAAAAGTTAGGAAGTGCCAGAGTTAAGGTCATCTACATAACCTTAGTTCACCATGTGTTTGCTTGCATTATGCCAAGGTCTTTAATTGCATGATCACATACTTTTCCCCCCAAAGGATTCTGTTCTGTTTTTACAGAATCAATGGTCCAAAGCATCAAAGATGTTAGCATAACATAACATGTCACTTAGCAACATTTAATAGTTAAACAAGGTTTGCTATTCAAGTACAGAAAACTTGACCTGCTTTGTCCCATGACAAAGACTTGCCCAAGAGAAAACTTTTGATCTTTTATTGAATCTACAATAAATGGTGAATGAATGCATTTGAAATGTAAAGTGTTATATAAGACTGCCATTTTAGAACATTGTTTATTCACTTTCCTTTTAGCTTTAGAGAATGTCTCAAGAGAGAAAGTTTTGTTTGACAGTATTGGGATTGCAATAAAAATAGCAACAGCTGGCCTTTGGGGGCAAAGAGAAAAAGTTAGCTGACAAGACCTTGAGTTGTATTTGTTGTTTGTTAGACTCCAGTCCTCCTTCCTACACACCCATTCACTTAGCATTGGTGTCAAATTAAGAAGCCAACTAGAAATGATGAGTGAAATAGTGTATCTCATGGTAAATTTTTAATCAGTTAGGCCTAATTTCTGACACACTAGTTTTGGACCAGGGATTTCTGGTCCTACATTTGATGGTATCAGTGAGCCTTTTTGTGTAACCTAATCCAGTTTTTGTACCTTTAACTGTTGCTGACTTTTACAAATAATTGCATACAGCAGATTAGACTTTGGTTACCCTGGACAATTTAGAGCACAAGCTCCAAATATAAAGGTACCCTTTCCTCATTCAGTAAAAAGTACTGAGCTACTCTGGAGATAAATCAGACCCATGTAGTTTCATAGTTTCATAGTTGTTAGGGGATGGAAACAACCTTACAGGTCATCGGGTCCAGCCACATTTTTCCAATTTAACCATGAGGACTTTATCATTCATCAGCAGATGCATGACAAATGGAACCAAAGAAGTGATACTTCCCATCTGTGCGGCATTGGTCAGACTGCAGTTGGAGTACTGCATCCAGTTTTGGGCGCCATGCTTCAAGAAGGATGTTGATAGACTCAAGAGGGTCCAGAGGAGGGTGACTTGTATGGTTAGGTGTTTACAGGACAAGCCCTATGAAGAGAGACTGAGGGACCTGGATCTCTTCAGCCTCCACAAGAGACGGCTGAGAGCTGATCTTGTGGCTGCCTACAAATTCATTGCCGGGATGCAGCAAGGGATCGGAGATGCTCTGTTCACCGGGGCGCCTCTTGGAGTAACAAGAAACAATGGTCATAAACTGACAGAGAGCAGATTTAAGCTAGATATCAGGAAAAACTTTCACAGTAAGGGTGGCCAAAATTTGGAATGGGCTTCCAAGGGAGGTGGTGCTCTCCCCTACCTTGGGGGTCTTTAAGAGAAGGCAGGATAAGCATCTGGCTGAGGTCATTTGACCCCAGCACTCTTTCCTGCCTAGCCAGGGAGTTGGACTCAATGCTCTGTTGAGGTCCCTTCTGACCCTAGTATCTATGAATCTATGACATTATGGGAGACTAAGTCAAAGGCCTTTTTGAAATACAAGTATATGACATCAACCTCATTTCCCCTATCCAGGTAGCAAGTTGCCCGATTGTAGAAGGAGATGAGGTTGGTCTGGCATGACCTTTGTGTAATGAAGCTATGTTGGCTATCTTTCAGTGAAGGACGCTTTCATTTTTAGATCATTAGTTAGAAAGTGTATAGTAAGTAAGACAGGGGACTGTGGGGAAAGTAAACCTGGTTTTATGGGTAAGTCAGTCAGTATTCCCAGGGACAATTGGATTCTAGTCCTTCCTCTGCCACAGAGCTCCTGTGTGGTGCTAGGCAAGTCATAAGCTTTGCACACATGCACACATTGTGTGTCCCTTATTAATTGGCTGCCCAACTATGTTACTTTCCAGAAGTGCTGAGCAGTCACAGCTGCAGCTGAAGTCAATGAAAACTGCACTTGGAACATATTAAATGCTCTCTAATAGAAAATACTGTTAAAACTCAGGCCTGAGGCATCCCACCCAAAAGTAGCTGGGTGCTTTTGACCTTAAACCACTGTATTCACATGCACCTTTTTTCCAAAAATCAGCCCTCCAAAATTGGGGTGCATGCATATCTTAAGTGGAGATGCTGATTTTCTTCACTCAGATAGAATATGATAACGCTGTTGCAAAACAGTTTCTCCTAGCAAGCAAACAGAAGGGGCAGAGTCTAATGTTAACCCTTTCACAGCCGTTCTCAGCTTGCTGACTGAGAAACTAGCAGGCATTTTGCAACATAGCCTCTCAGTGAAAAATCCAGCTGTAGGCCATAACTCTAGAAATCTCTTTTTTTCTACACTCTGCTTTCCAAAAACAAAGCATGTGTCTCATTTGGGGGCATGTGGTACAGAAAAAAAATTGTGTCTGTATCTTATAGATTCATAGATTAAGGGTCGGAAGGGACCTAGT